CGCCGCCGCCTCCCCGCCTGCCTCCGTCCCTGCCCGCTTCGGCCGAGAGCTAGAGTGGTTTCAGGGGCCAGGCGCGTCCCTGAGGCGCTTTGCTGGTTTCTCCTACTTGTCCCACCTCAGTTCAGTTTCCACAAGGATATTCTGCGTGGCACCTTGTGGGACAGGCAGACACAGGCGGGGGGACTGGCCTGGGAGAAATTCCATGAAGGAAGCGGCACCGAGTGCCCAGAGAGCAGGGGCCTCTCTCATCCGTTTCAGTGGCAGAGGTTGGAAGGCTGGGAGTTTCCCGCTGGCATGGGAAACTGACCCGGGGTGTACGTTACTCCCTCTGGCTTTCTCTTTAACTTGGTTCAAGAGAATTGGGTGCAGCACAGATCTTTTATTAACGAGGGCAGTGAAAACCCTAAAGGTTATTCTCAGTTGTAGTAGAGATACGTAACTCAAGAAACTGTTTGCCCCCTTGCCTTGGCGTTCCCGAGTCTTGGGCATCCTCCGGATTCTGCAGCAGGTGCCGATTCTTTCCACTGCTTGCAGTCTCGAAACTTGAGAGTTGCCCTCTCTGTGTGTCCTCACGGTAGCTACAGCCCTCCTCCATCTCATGATTCCCAGTTCAGGAGCACCTTTCCTTTCAGAAGGTGATTGTTTCACTCTATGGAGCTGATGCCATGTTTGAAGCAAATTATTTTTCTCAAGAAAATGCCTTAAAATTAAGGGGAGGTAAGAAAATGTTTTTTAGCGTTGTATATGGAGGACATTACTTGTAATGTGGATCGATAGTTTATCCGTAGTGGCAGAAAATCCTAACACACCCTGCAGGGAGGATGTGGGCACTCTCGGCTGCGTTTTGGGCCTGCTAGGCTATTGCCACTTCCTATCGCTGGGTTCTCAGTCTTAGCCCTGGGTAGTGCCCAGCCTCACCTGCTTGCTGCGTCAGTTGGCAGCACATACCAGAGACGAATCCTTCTGCAGCTTCCTCTGATGACCTTTATGGAAGTGCCTGTCGAGAGGTACAGCCAGCCCTTGTCTGAAGGGTTGTGCTCCCTCCCCCTGGATTTGCCGTGGATGAAAGTTAATCAGATGGTTAATTTTTCAAAATAAAAATGCCCAAATTTTAAGTTTAAAGCA